GGCAAGAGGCTGACTCTGTAAACCGCTTAGAGAGGGCTGAAAGCCCTATGAGGCGGTATATAAGTCTTAACTGCTATTGCTATAATCTTTTAACTACATTTTGGTGTATTATCTGAATCAAAGATCAAAGCGATACATATATGTAATATCTATCCACATATGATATCCATCCTTATTGAGGAGCCCATATTAATTTCCGGAAGAGCTGGTTCAGAACCTCAACTTACAATTGTAACTGACCCCACAATATCTATCGTAATTTATGATGCTCATAAATTATGTCAACTTGTGATCAAATCCAATATTATGCCCTTTTTGGGGACAGTTGTAAAACAAAACCACGGTCATTAAGCAAGCATATCATTTGCTATTGGAAGTTTGGGGGTTTTTTGGCCAGGAACTGGAATTAAACACTGGTTTTCCGCAAAAAAACATCGTGAATCACCATTGTGTGACTCAGGATACTGCAAATGGGCATAAATGCATGCACAAATGAATGCCCAAAATGTGCTTGTGTGACCATGGTGGGCGAGAGACAAATGTTTGAGAACTTTAAATCTGAATTGTAAGTCCCATTTTCAGGGTGTGTTGTAACTTTGAACAGTCACTAAGCAGCCAGTCATAAATTGAGGACTACCTGTTTTATGTTGCCTTACTCAGTCTTAGTTCTAAGTCTCATTTAGGGCAGTTAATGTTGTTATTGTAATTATTTCCATTACTCCAGAAAAAACAATGATAATCCTGGCTTTGGTCAAACAGAAAACCCTCCTGTTGTCTACAGCGGAGATTACAGGAATCCGGGCAATCTGGAAAAATCAGAGGTACCAATAACTGTACTTAATTTGCTTTTGGCAGGACTGTGTTGGTGGGTCCCCTCCGTACAACACACACAACCTCTCTCACACAACCTCTCCTCTGCCTCTCTTTTGCTGCCTGGCTGCAACTGTTGTAAGTTGCTTCTGCCTATAGGCCAAAATCCATTTCAATTTTCTGGAAGGAGAGGACAGGTATATTCCTCACAGCTCAGTATTTTAGAACAAGGCAAACCAGAAAGCTTTTTAGAGGCTCCAGATGGATGGTTTCTCCATTAGGCCTCATTTGGGACAGTACAGGCAATGGCCCTTAGACCAGGGGTGTCAAAGTCAAGGCTCAGGGCCCAGATCTGGGCCGGCCCACGGGTACTTAGATCTGGCCCGCAGGGCGGCCCTGGCAACAGCGAAGGACCGGCCCGCAGTGCTTCTGCCAGTGAAAACAGGCTTCCGAGCTCCGTTTCCAGCTGCCATGGACTCCTGAAACCCTCTGCCAGTGAAAACGGAGCTCGCAGAAGTCCGTGGCAGCCGAAAACAGAGCCCGGAAGCCTGTTTTCACTGGCAGAGCGCTCGGGCCACCACAGGCACCCCTGACAGAACTGACATTGAGCTGGCCACGCCCAACTCGGCTAACCAAGGTCAAACGCAACTGATGCGGCCCTCAATGAAATTGAGCTTGACACCCCCGCCTTAGACCCATCCATGAGAAGTGCCCTTCCAAAGGATGGTTTGTTTTGGATATGGTCAGAGAGAGGATAATTTTTCTTCCTGGCCTTTTTTTTTTTTTTTTTTTTTGCACTCAAGTCAGAAGCGCTGCTTCCTGTTGAAGGATTAGCTGGTGACATCACCATTGTCCTGGGGGGGGGGGTTGCCCAATTTGGGCTGTTTTCATGTCCCTGGCAGGAGCTAGAGTGAAGGACGGGAGCTCAACCACCACCACCCCTACGGCAGCTCTAGGATCTTGAACATTGGCTTGCTAACACTCCTACCCAGGGTCCCAACCACTCGAGCCCCCGTGCTGCTTCGTTCTTCCTGGTAGCATAACTAATCAGCCCTAAGAATGGTTTCTTTACTTGGGGTTTACTTGGG